AAAAAAAAAAAAAAAAAGGGGGCCGCAATGAAAATTGGGGAACAGATATAACTTCGACTTGATGATTTCCATTCCTCGGGGTATATTCCCAGCAGTAGGATAGCTGGGTCACATGGCAGATCTATCTGCAATTGTTTGAGGAACCTCCATACCATTTTCCATAGAGGCTGCACCATTTTGCAGTCCCACCAACAATGTATGAGAGTTCCTTTTTCTCCGCAACCTCACCAGCATTTATCGTTCAGAGTCTTTTGGATTTTAGCCATCCTAACTGGGGTGAGATGGTATCTCAGTGTAGTTTTGATTTGCATTTCCCGGATGCTGAGTGATATTGAGCATTTTTTCATATGTCTGTTGGCCATTTTCATATACCACAAAATTCACCCTTTTAAGGTATACAATTCAGTGGTTTTTTAATATAATCACAAGGTTGTGCAATCATCACCACTATCTAATTCTACAATATTTTCATCATCCCATAAAGAAAACTGGTGGTGGCTGGCTGGTTAGCTCAGTTGGTTAGAGCACGGCCTTTAACACCAAGGTCAGGGGTTCAGATCCCCTTACTGGCCAGCCACCAAAAAAAAAAAAAAGAAACCTGGGATCCTTTAGCAGTCACCCTCCATTCCTCCCTTCCCCCATTCCCTGGCAACCACTAATCTACTTTCTGCATATATGGATTTGCCAATTCTGTACCTTTCATGTAAATGGAACCATTCATCATGTGGCTTTTTGTGTCTGGCCTCTTTCATTTAGCACAGTGTTTTCACGGTTCATCCTTGTTGTAGTATACAATTACATCATTCCTTTTTATGGCTGAATATCAAATTTACATTTTACTTATCCACTCATTAGTTAATGGACATTTGGATTGTTTCCATTTTTTGGCTTTTATGAATAACACTGCTATGAACATTTGTGTACAAGTTTTAGCATGGATATATATTTTCAATTCTATTGGGTATATACCCAGGAATGGAATTGCTGAGTCATACGGTAACTGTATGTTCAACTTTTGGAGAAACTGCCAGACTGTTTTCCAAAGGGCTGTACCACTTTATATCCCACTAGCAATGTATAAAGATTCCAATTTCTCCAAGTCCTAGCCAAACACTTGCTATTGTCCCTGTTTTTGATTATAGACTTTCCAGTGGGTGTAAATGGTATCTCATTTTGGTTTTGGTTTGCATTTCCCTGATGCCTAATGATGTTGAGCATCTTTTCATGTGCTTATTGACCATCTGTATATCTCTTTGGAGAACGGTCAATTCTGATCCTTTATTCACTTTTTAAAATTGTGTTATTTGCCTTATATGAGTTATAAAATCCTTTATATATTCTGGATACTACATCTTATCATATACATGATTTGCAAATATTTTCTCCCATTCTGTGCCTTGTCTTTTCACTGTCTTGATGATATCCTTTGAAGCAATAAGTTTTAAATTTTGCTAATATACAATTTATCTATGTTTTCTTTGGTTGTACTTTTGGTATCACATCTATGAAACAACTGCCTAATCCAAAGTCAAAAAGATTTATATCTATGTTTTCTTCTAAGAGTTTTAAGGCTTTAGTTCTTACATTTAGGTCTTTGATCCATTTAAAGTTAATTTCTTATTACTATTTGAAGATGAAAACTCACTACAATGAGAGCAAATGTCAATCAGACAGAACCGATCATTCCAAAATATCTCCAAAAGATATGAAAAGTCACTGGTAAAAGATACATACAGGCTGGCCGGTTAGCTTACCTGGTTAGAGCGTGGTGCTGATAACACTAAGGTCAAGGGTTCGGATCCCCTTACCCCTCCCTCCCCGACTCCCCCACGAAAAAACGTTTAGCTCACATAAAACTAAACCAGTGGTTCTCAAACTTCAGCATGAATCGGAAACCTAAGGGCTTGTTAAGTTGAGATGGCTCCTCCCAGTCACCAGTGTTTCTGATTTAGTAAGTCTTGAGTGGGGGACGTCATCACCTCTACCATCTAGTAGAATGTGGATTTCTAACAAGTTCCTAAGTGGTGCTGATGTTGCTGGTCTGACCACACTTTGAGAACCACTCTGCTAAACAAGAACTTCCGGATCATGAGCCCTATATAAGCCAATTTAGCTTACACGTAAGTCGTGAAAACAAGCAACTTTTAGAACTAGAGATCCTTTCTGCTGGGTTGTAACCAGATTGAAAAACGTTTATACCCGGAAGAGACTTTAGCTAAACAAACCTAATGGAACATAATGATTTTAAAAACGTGGAAAGTGAGGCCAACAAAGTTGAAGGGAATCAGCCATGGGTTAACAGCTATGGGTGGCAGAACAAATGTTACAACCCAGGGTTTCTGGATTCTCCAAACTATTTCAAAAGCAGCTTATACAAATACACATAATAAACCTCTCATGTTGAAATAATCTAGGGATAATGCCACCTATATTTAATTTAATATAAACTAGATGCCAGTAAAATCTTTTTTCAAATGTTAAAGGGATCTGGGGTTTTTTTGATACTCTCCTCCTGACAATGATGGACACTCTACTTCCGAGATGTCTAACTAGTTTCTCAAAAGCTCACAACCAGAAAAGCAGCCCTGGTAAAACAGTTTCGTCTCAGCAAGAATCCTGGGGAAACAGTGCTTCGTGTCTCTGGAATTTTCTCAGGTTTCTGAGGCTCAGTACGTGCTTTATGCTGTGTGC